GACGTTCTTTAAACCCAACCTTTTGATTTTGTGCCAATTGAAACAACACATTGTATGAACATCATAATCCAGCCATTTAATCAACTGAAAGGACGGAACTTTTGGCTTGAGATAGAAAAGCCTTTAATTCAATTTGAAATAGAACACTGTTGTTAACGAATGGTCGAATCCAAATTTGAAAGGGATGTTCCTTTCCATCTCTTGTAACTTCTTTCATTCATTTTTTCTTCTTCTTTTAACATTGTATATTTATATGTATATTATTTAAATATTATTATTTGCTTAATATATAAATATATATTTATTTGAAGATATTTATATATATGAAATATTAGTATATATTATATATACACAGTTTAGGTAATTAACCATCTTACTTTTATATTCTAATATATTCTTTTATTAGTGAAGTTAAAAAAATAGAAGTTTGTTGTTTTTTTCATTTTAAAAGATAGCATATATGATAACTATTTTAAAAGTTTTCTTGTACTTGCCACTACTTTTCATTTGATATGCAGGCATTTGCTTTGAATCTGCTTAACAATTTAGTGATTTTTAAATATAACTGAAGTTGAATTATTCTGATCAGAAAATAAAACTGTTATAATTAAAAAGTTCGACTATTATCCTTACGTAAACTACTTATATTCCAATCAACACTAATGGAATTCAATTAATCTTCTTTCGTGAATCAGAATATGTACATGATATCTATACACTTCTACACAACTAAATAAGTCACTGAGATTTCCTCTAATGCCGGGTGAAGGAATCCTCCCCTGTAACCAGAAGAGACCTCCGGTCATAGCTCCTCCGTCCTCTGCAGCCTTGCCTTCTTCGCCTACTCATCATTCTCATCATGACAAGGTTCGTACCATCTTCATTTCGGGTCTGCCTACAGATGTCAAAGAGAGAGAGCTGCAAAATTTGCTGAGATGGCTTCCAGGTTTTGAAGCCTCGCAAGTGAGCTTCAAGTGAAAAGAGCCCAAGGGTTTCGCTCTATTCTCTACTGCAAAATTTGTTGTTGCTGCCAAAGATACCCTTCAGGAGATGGTTTTTGATGCCAAGTTGAAGTCTCTTTTGCACATTGAGATGGCAAAGAAAATTCTGGTTGTTAAAAAAGGAATGGGTACTGATTCTGTTACAGTGGACATTTATAGTTGTCATCCTGTTCCTCCGGTTTTGCCTGTGCCAAATCCAGCTCCTGGAGCGTCTCCAAGTATTCATGTGCATGATAAATCTGGGTGTTATGTTGAAAAGTCTACCGCAGTTGCTGTCCAAGATGGATCCGGGGAGTCCACCACAAAGGGTTGCATCAATGACAAGTCTGGATGCTTCACGTTATTTATTGATAATTTACCAGAGAAGATCCATTGGAAGAGGTTTGGATCTTTATTTTGCTCTCATGGCCGGGTACTTGATGCTTTTTTTCCAAATAAAAGGAATTCAAAAGGAGTTCGTTTTGGTTTTATTCGCTTCGCATAATTCGAAGAAGCAAGGAGAACGATCTCTAAAATGAATAGCTCTCGTATCGACGACATCAAAATTGGTGTTTCTTTCGCTAAATTCAAACCTCGTCATTCATATTGGAGAAAGTCATCGACAAGTATTCTTCGCAAGTCTGGGATGGAAGATGGTTCGAGTAAGAATCATTATAAAGTTGAAGGTGTTATAGATGAAGAAAAACTCCAGGTGTTGAGCAATTGTCTAGTGGGGTGGTGCAAGGACTTTGTTAAAATTGGTCATCTCGCTAGACAAATGCAATCGAAGGGTCTCACTGGCTTCACATTAATGAGAGCTTCTGGTAATGCGATTTTAATGATTTTCGAAGACAATGCTTCATTGTGAAGTGTAAAGAACGACAAATTAAAGATTCTCGCAGAGTGGTTCTCCATAGTCGAAGCTTGGTCAGAGAGTTTGGTAATGGAGTGTCGTCGAGTATGGCTAGTTTGCGAGGGTGTTCCTTTTCACACATGGAATTGGAATACTTTCAAGAACATTGCTGATAAGTGGGGTCTTTTATTGGCTATCGACGAAAGTTGTCAATCTCCATCATCCTTTGATCGGGCTAAAATTCTAGTCCTAACAAAGGCTGATGCGAGAATTGATTCGATGGTTGAATTGAAGGTTGGTGACAATTTCTTCAAGGTTATGGTGCATGAGATAGAACCTTCATTCAAACCAAACTCTTGGGCTCCTGAAGAATACAAGTCTCATTAGATCTCGTCTCTTCATTTGTGGTTTTATTTTAGTCTATATGGTTGTAGGTGTTGCTTTCATTTTGTATTATGTTCTGTCGCGTTGTTTTATTACTACTGTTGGTGGTGTAATTAGTAGTAAGGTGATTTGACTGTGGCTTTGGATGAGGTTTTATGAGGTTAAGGTTTTTTTTGTAATGGTGTACATCACCATGAGAGGACATTCCGTGGTGTCTTTTGTATCGGGTATTATATTAATAAAATCTGAGGTACTCTTTTCTTCCTTCCAATGTTCATTAACATACTTTTAGTATGTGAACGAATACGAAGGGAGTTTTTAATGAGACCTCCAACTTCTATAAAAATAAAATAAAATAGTAATACTAAAACAGAATAAAAAACTAATTAGTTTCTGATTTTCTAATATCTACAAAATAGGAAATTAACTCTTAACTTCAAGGATTAAGTATTCTACATATACAAGTCTTTCATTGTGTCTGTTGAATTTTGTGGGATTCATAATCTATCTTCTCTTGATTTTTATCATGTTTGTTCTTTTCCTACGAAGTCTTAGTCCAAAAGCTTTCTAAATGTTTAATAGACTAAAGATCATTTTAAGGTCCAAATCTTTCAAGCTATTGTTGACGTCATTTCAAATGAAAGAACAACCGTCTTCAAGATCACAACTTACTTCTTGGAGATTCAACATGTGTGTTAAGGATTAGGGTATGTGTAATGTTGATGCCAATTCCTTAGTAGAATGTACATTATCTTAAACGCAAATGGTGATTAGGGGATTGGACTTTGCCTTGTCGGCTGAGAACCAAGTATATTTAGGTTAAATTAGCAAAGTGAGATTAGAGAGAGAGAGAGAGAGAGAGAGAGAGAAGATACGTGTATATAGTTTTGTAATGGTTTATTATCAGGGACGGACGCGGGGAGGCGAAAACAGATTTTCAACAGAAAATATATAGAAAAAATCTAAAATATATGATAATTTTAAATTTTCAGGGGTGACTGCCCCCACCCACCTCCCCTCGGTCTATCCCCGTTTATTATGGATTGTCAACATTCCTTAAGGTTGAAGTGGATTGAGGTCATTCACCAATGCCTGAATCTTCCTGTTAAATGTTTCACTTGTGACAGAATTATTAGTGCTCCATCTTATTGTTGATTTCTTCTATAAGTTCAGATTTATGATTAATATATAGCAATGCTTTTTAATAACTTGATGAGTTCAAAAAGTTTAGACAATTTGAACTAGACTAATGGAGTGATGCACTTTTTTTTTGCTAAAGCCATGAAACCTGTCTTTGTATGTTCAATATGTATGTGTAGGCATGTGTAAGTGGTTTGGCATCTTTTTGGATCTCTTGGAACACACAGCATGTAACTCAATTGAAGCGAGCAAAACAATTGTGCTGTAGAGAGGCAACTAATTCTCAGTAGATGATAAAAAATTATTCTTTTACTTGCAAAACATGCACACTATCCTGATAATTGTGTTTGTTCTTTAAGCAGATAAAATCTAATTTCTGCACTTTCTAGGCAAGTGTCGGATATGAAACATGTCAAATCTTCAAGTGGCTCTGATGGCAGAAGATGACTTCAAATCATTACAGATAAAATGAACCAGAATACAGATAAAACTATTTCTTCGAGCCCTTCTGGTTCATGTTTTTGGGTTTGCCAAGCCTTTCTAAAAGGGTGATGAGCAGGTAATTAATGTTCCCTTTTCTTTCTCTTGTATGTTGATGTATATTGTGGTTTTATTTCTCTGATTTTTCCTCCCTTATTGCTTGTCTTTTACTATAATTGGTTATGTTTTCTGATGAATAGCTTGGATTTCTTTGCATCTAAGTTTGGTGTTCCCAGTGGAACTCTAACGTATATGCTTGATATGTATCCAACATGAATACTGCAAGAGAACAGGACTTCTACATCAGAATATAGTTAAACGTAGTTACAAGGGGCATATTTATGTTCTATTTTTGCTCTTGCTACACTTGAATTTATATTATGGTTAAAAAGTTAGGTTATTTTGATAGTGCATAATTGTTGGAATGTTTCTGTCAACATGTTGCAACCCTCCTCCTTTATCCGGGCTTGGGACCGGCTGTGTTCACAATTTAGGCATTTAGTGTTCCACAGGCTGAGTTATTGCAGCATATGCTTTTAATTCCTTGTTAAATACACTGCCCCTTGTTCTAACTCAATTTTTATGTTGTATCTAGTATTGGGTTCGTGTATCTTGTATTAGGTTCGTGTACCTTGTGATGCTTATATGCTGTCCAATTTTTTAATGTTTTGATCTGACAGTTTACTGACATTAACTGCAGTCTGAAGTTACTTCTAACTCAATTTTTATGTTGTATCTAGTATTGGGTTCGTGTACCTTGTGATGCTTAAATGTGTGCTGGTTATGTTAATTTGAGTCATGTGGAAGATACTTTTTCATCTTCTTTTCGAGCAGTAAACTAGAAACATGATTCTATGTTGTCTTACTTTGAAACCTCACTATCATCTATTTATATTATATATATTTATGTCTCTTAATATCGTTCATGTTAAGTAATCATGATATTTATGAGTGTATCTTGTTTTCGATGTTTTCTATATTTCACTAATTGTTTGTAGCTTCACCTATACAAAATATTAATATCTTTCTGAAGCACCTTGTTGCTGTCATATATGTTACATGACATAACTACTATAAGTTTTTTCTTATTTATATCAACTTAAATAAGTGTTACTGTGGCTTCCATTATTGGTTATCTTTAAAACTGAAAAAGATAGTTAACAGCACGTGGAATAAATGTCCATTTTCTCCTTTATATATATCTGCTTTATTACACTTAATTTATCTCTACATAACTAGCTTGGTTTTCTTGATCATCACATCGATGCTAAATGTTCATTTGTTTAGTCATTTCAAACCTGTGTTTTTTTGCTAAATGAGTGGTGATTTTAACATAAAACATCTTACTATGAGAAGCTTAACTTTTGGAACCATGAGCTATTTGTTGATAGAAATCGAGTGACATTCCGTCCCACTTTGATGCATTTTCTTTTGCTAATGTAATTGCAATCTGCTGCAGTTACCATAAAAAAGTTCGCAGATCAATTTGTGGCAAAGTAATTGGTATTTGAATCAGAATCATCTACCATAAGGAGGAAAATTACCCCAATTTTGTAGCTCTTGTTGGTGTTTCGTAGTTTTGTTGCTGTGGCTGGCTTAGCTGGAGATGGACAGCAACATGTGGATCCTCCTCAATGCTTTGACCATTGGTGACAAACAATTCTTTGCTTGTTCCATTCACATCCCTTGTTCCATAAACCTGGATGGAAACTTTTCTGTTGAGGTTGGTTTTTAAACATCTCATAGATAGATGACAAATGTTACTGTCCTGACTCTTGAGTCTCTAATATCTCTAGGCTAATTGAAATTTTTATGAGCCATTTAAAATTTTACCTTCTTATATAATTCCATGTTTTCTAGACGAATTTGGTTTACCTTCTTATAGAGTTCCACATTTTCTTGATGAATGAGGTTCCCCTGCAATGGGACAATGCAATTTAGACAAATTTAGGCACTTTGAGTTGATTCAGTAATGAGACAATGCAATTTAGGTTTACCTGTCTGGTCAGTTCTTGAATTTCATCCATTAAAATTTGGTCCTACAGCAGTGGGGTAAATGTTACCAACGTGGAGTTGCTTTATTTTGTACGCTATCCTGAACTTAAAAACTGAAAATGAAATGGAAATAGAAATCTCAAACCTTCTTCATACGGACACCACGAAGGCTCATTTCCAATTGGCTCTCCAGATTCTGTAAATCTTTTATGTTCAATCCAGTAAGTTCTTCACCCATCATTTGCCTGTTTTGGTGTGCAGAAGCATATTTTCAGTCAATAGGATTTGTTTCTTACATAAAAGCTTTTCATAGGCATACACATGAGATGCATCCCATTTCAATTATTGAGGTCACTTTTACTTTTGATGCATCCAATGCTTTTATGGACAGATATTAAATCTGCCTTTTACAGACATAAGTTTATGTCTAGGACCATCAGTGTCTGTGTGTTCGCCTTAATTGAAGAATGAATGTTTCATTCAATCTGATCTCTAAATATCTGAACCATGATATAGAACATCTTAATTGCATCTAAAAGGTTGGAATAGATAGTTACAACAGGTTCTAGGAGAAAATTAATTTGCTATTCATGTTACCGGCTTGAAAGAAAGAGGCTGTCTATGTTGAATCCAGACATGGGTATATTTGATGTTTTCTGAAAATGCTTAATGTAAAAGTGGTTTCTTGATTCTGCTTTTTTGGCTCATTTTACTTTCCTATTGATGTCTACTATGATGGATTTATATGGTAAAAGAGTCAAAATACCTGTGATTTTCTTGCAGGTTTTGTAGTTGTTGTCTCAGAACTGCTGCCTCCCTTTTCCAGAACTGAGAAGTAAGATTGATACCATGGTAAGATTCACATTCACAGCTTTTGTTGCTTAAAGTATGACTATGCAGAAAAATAACTTCAGTAATGAAACATTGCCATAACCAAGCAAATTTATTAATGATCACTATAGTTGTAGGTAACATCCCTTTAAAGATTTTGATATATTTTGATCAGATGCATGAGGCTAAATTAATTTTTATGTTGCCTACTAGAAAAGGTTCTAAGTGTTGGGTTATTCAAACTTAACTACCTAGAAATTTTTACTTAGCTAATGTTCAAAGGGACGGCCGCAAGATTTTATACTAGGAGGGGCGAATTTATAAAATTTTAGAGGAGATAAACTTATAATTATTTGTGGGGGCAGGGGTAAAAACAGATTAGTAATAGAAAATACAATGAAAAAATCTAAAATATAAGAGAATAAAGTTTTATGGGGGCGGCTGCCCCCACCTACTTCTCCCTCTGGATATTCACCCTAGATCTCTTTTCTATTGGTTATGTTTCGAAAATCCTGTGGCTATTACAACAAGTGAACAACATACACTTAGCATGGCAATTTAGTCTATGCATGCCATTAGGCATTCCTATTCCAACACTCTCAAGAGGAGTTTGAATTTTGTGCATACAAATCAATTTTTATGTTTATGGTTCTGGTGCTGTCAACATTTTGGTCAATAATTGGAAGAAGTCTTGACCTTAACCTAATCTCTACTTATAAAATTGCATGCATTGTGTTAGTACCTCACACCCACTGCAAACCTGGAAAAGAAAAAATTGGTTTGTTGCTTGTTCAGGGTATGCAAAGTTGGGAACGTTTAACTTCGCACAACACATTTTCAGGCATGCTTGTAATGTTTGGGTCATCAAATGGAAAATTATTTAGCCTTTCAGTCTTACCTTATCTTTACAAGCATGCAGATTCACTGATGATATATGCATTCAGTATGATCTGAAAGGTAAAATTCAAGAAATTTGAAGAACAAGTACCAAAGAATACCTTGATTTCAGATGTTGGATTCCCCGGTTGATTTTCCTCCTTTGCTTTGTTGTAGCGCTCAATTACTGATCTCATGCTGGCAAAGAAAAGATTTGAATTACTCAGAAATTATGTAATTCCTGAAGGCTTATAACAGAGAAGGAAAACAGACACAATGATGATCACATAACATACAAAATAACCAAGCATGGGCTCTACAAAATGATAACATTTGACAAAGTTGTGGTTATATCAATCAACCATGGCATCCTTCCAGAAACATAAACCAATTAGTGAAAACTGAAGTTTCAATCTTAAAAGGTAAGTTTTCTTGAGGTGATTAAGTTTTGGTTCGATTGGTTGGCCCTGGTCTATATTGAGGTGAAGTTTCGTTAGCCTTCTGTTTTGTGTCATTGATTGGGTTCCCCTGAATTGTTGGAGTGTAGTGTTCTTCGCTGGGCTGGCTTCTAAATGGAGGAGGGTGTTGGTGAAGATTCAGGAGGAGACACTATAGAGGATCAATTGTCGTGTTGCTCATATGCTTATTAGGGCAACAAGTCCGTTTGATATTCCTAGGTCAGTAACGATCAAAACGAACTAGAGACCATATTTAATTAAGATTAAGGTTGAATAAGTGGAAGATGGATTTCCAGAAATGATGAAGGGATTTAGAGGATGACTCAACTGACGTGTGGGAGGAAAACTCATCGGAAAACAATAAGGAGACTGGCCTGAATGGTCTGGAGGGCCAAGAAGATCAACAGTCAGGCTCGTCGGCTCAGGAGAGGGTGGAATCGCGGCTCTAGGAGAATCCAATGTGGTAACCTAGGGAATACCCAAGGAATTAATGCGGCAGAAGAACAAAAGCAAATTCATCCTATGGGGGAAACGAGTGTAGAACATGTTAATTACGCATCCCCATTATACAGGGCTTGTCGGGTGACAATAATATGGATAATAGAAATGGGAAGGAGGCTAGTAATGGGCAAAGTGGGTCTTATAATAATGCTATGTTGGTTTTGTAGCTCAGTCGGGTTGTTTCAAACAATCAAGTGGAAAAAAGAATATTGGTTGGGTTTATAGAAAGATCTAAATCCTTGGATCCAACTAGGAACAATGAGAGTGGGCTCAGGAACCTGAGGTTTCTCAAACCAAAATTGAAAGTAGGCTTGTGGAGTTGAGTCAATCCCAATCAAGTTCCTCGAATGATCAATCTCCCTTCCTATCCAATCAAAGTCGTCCGTCGGGGAAAAGCTCATCTGTAGGCAAAGAAGAGATTGGGTTCTTTGATAAAGTTTGTAGCAGTTCTAGAGGGAGCAGAGCTTGTTATGGCCAAATTCTGGATGGCTCTCGTCACCTCAATCAGTTCCCGAAGGAGATAGGGGAGACGAACGCTACTTGGGAAGTCAGCAATTTGTTGGTCATCACTTTTCAGGAGGAAGAAGAGTTGTCGTTAATAGAATAAATTCAATGGCGAAGGAGAGGAATTTGGGGGTGGAAGAAGATTCCCCAGGGTGACATATTTTTTCTAGCTTTTATGTCAAACTTAAACATAATATCGTGGAATGTTAGAGGACTTGGTAGGCGAGAAAAGTCTAGAGCAGTGAAAAATCTGATTGTCCCCTCGATTGTGTTTTTACAAGAAACGAAAGTGGATTCGGTGAAACCCTCTTTACTTAGGAGGTTGGGGGTAATCTGTTGCACATTTGTACTTGGGCTCCAACAGATGATTCAACGGGTGATCTTATTACTATGTGGGATGATAATGTTTTTGACATTCTTAATATCCATATCCATAGACGATTCATAGTAATTGAAGGGAGAATTAAGGGTTCGTTGGGGCAAAGTTGTCAAAAACATTCTTAATATCCATAAAGTTGACTGATTTAAAAATAGAGAATGAGTGCGACAGGTAGAGAGAGTTAGAGAAAATTCGGAAAAAGCTAAAGTCTCTGATGATGAATGGATTGTGTTCATTGATAACCTGAGTAAGAGGGTTTCAAGACGCGTGTTAAAGGATTTTTTTAGTCCTTATGGTCAGATCTTAAGAATTTTCATTCCACGTTCTTTAGTGAAACCAAATTATAATTCAACTACTTTTGCTTTTGTTCAATTTGCTGATGAGAATAGTAGGATCAAAGCAATCCAGTCTGTGAATGGGAGGTGGTTTGATGGGAGAAGAATCTCTGTAGGGGTTGCTAAGTATCAGAAGGCTAATAGGAAGGAAGTTGCCGATGGGAAGATGATGGTAGAGTTCAAGTCAGGAAAACAGAATAATACAAATTTTGGGGGGAACGTTGAGTTGTGGAAAAGCTTCAGGGATAGTAGATCGTACAAGGATGTCGTGAAGTATGATTTCAATATGATTAGAGAGTCAGGGACAGGGATAAACTTGGAGGGAGTTAGAAAAAAAGTGAATGGTGTGAGAAATATTTAGGAGATGCATATTCCGTCAGACAATTTGGAATGGGTTAAACGATCATTAATAGGGATTATGAAATCAACTTTCGAGTATGATTCAATTAAGGAAGCTTTGGAGATTGTGGGATTCGGTTTCCAGGTATCGAAATGGGGTTATGCTTGGAAGGCTTGCATCATCATTTTCGACTCGGTTGATGAGTTCTCATACGTGTGGGAGAATAAGGAGGAGGAGCTGTCTTCTTGTTTTGATTGGTTGGCCCCAGTACTGAATGAGAATGGAGTTCCAATGGCTCTGTGTCAAATAGAAATGTGTGGACTGTCGTTATTGTGCTGGAATGAAGCGTTCTTGGAAAAACTTACTGGGAAATGGGGAAGATTTTTATGTTTCAGGGAAGAATCTAAGAAAAGATTAGATCTCTCTACGGCAAGAGTTCTGCTCAGGGTGGAGAGTCCTTTTGACGTCCCTGAGACAGTTACTTTAGGCTCTTTTAACAGATCATTCAAAGTTAAGATTTTCTTGAGGTCAGTGGTGAATCAACCAGAAGAGTTGCGGAGGAAGACGGACTAGAAATTTTCAAAAAAGGTGAACATGGATTACGTATTGTCCGAGGAGGATGGTCATCTTCAAAATCTGGCAGCAAACAAAAATGAGACTACAGAGAATTCTAGGCTTAAAGTTATCTCTTGGTTGAATAACAGTCTTAATAGTAGTGTGAATGGAGTAAGTGGGGGACATTTTTCATTAAGTAAATCAATACCAGAAATAGTAAATGGTGGGCTGCCAGCCTTTTTAAACAATAGAACAGTTCAATATGGGAGCCACGTGGGTCTGGGGTTGAGAGATATAGACCCGGTTGAAAAGACCCATTCTGACGATAATATGGTTTCTTTTTCATCGACTAAGAAAATTTGTCCTAATGGACCAGCTTATAACATTAAATGGTCTGGGGGAAATTTATACTTCAACCTAACCACATTCCAGACAATTCCATGAAAGCTGCAGATGATGATAATAATAGGCTGGTGAGAATGATTACAGGAGGGGAGAAGGTATTGGTTAATGGTGAGCAGGTTGGTGAAATGGATAAAGAGCTTTCAGTTGGTCAGAAGATGGTTATGGAGAATAATCTGGACAGTTTTAATGAGGGCAGCTTCTCAATTTCGAGTGTAAAAGACATAAGAAATACTGACCGTGATGGAACTACTTCAAGAAGTTTTATGGATGGCAAAAAATTAGATGAAGAGGTTCTTCTGGATACATCAAAAAATATTGTCAAGGCACCGTCTCGGTCAAAAAGCTTATTTAACCAGGGAAGGTTAAGAATTGCACCATGTCATTCGGGAAGTGTGTGCTCTGAGGGTGAAGTGTTTATCAGTTTTTATGATAGAGTTTATAGAAGGGTGTTTAGTAGTATGGTCAGGGAGTCTTTGGAGAAAATTAGGGCATCTGCATAGTCTTCTCAAGCGAGTGATGAAGCCAGAATCGAAGCTGCAGCTACTAGGGAGGTTTGTGACATGTTGGGGATTACCTTTAAAGGGGGCAACAGATTTTAGAGGAGAAAATCGAGAAGCTGGAGTTGAAGAGGGGTTCCAAGAAGTTTTAGGCTTCTTTTTTTGTACTGCTGGGTTGTGTAATTGTTACAGAATTTTTAATGTAAAAAATTAGCTTGATATCGTGGAATATTAAGGGTTAGGTAGACATGAAAAAGTTAGAGCAGTAGTCAGACTTGTGAAGAATAGCAAACTAATTATTTTGTTGATACAGGAGACCAAGTGTGAATAGTTTCAGCATGATTTAAGAAGAAGACTAGGGGGTCGTGGCTTAAAGGTTTTAACTATTCTCCAGCTGTGGGTCCTGTAGGAGGATTATTGTGCATGTGGAACAAGGATGTGTTTTAAATTAAACAAGTATTTATTCACAACAGATTTATAGCAATCGTGGGCACATTCAAATCGTCAATGGTGGAGTGTATAGTATTGAATGTGTATGGTCCTTCTATTGAGGTAGAAAATGAGGGTTTTTTTTATTGAGCTAAAGGAGTTTGTAGTAGACCTTAATGTCCCAGTGTGTATTGGAGGAGACTTTAACGCCTATTTACAGTCGGATGAGAAGATGGGGGCGTCTCAAAATTGGCATACGATTGAGCTGTTCAGGAACTTCGTTCAACAAACTGAAATAATGGACCTCTCATTAGTAGGTGGCAGATTCACTTGGTGTAGCAACAAGGAATGTCTAACGTGGGTCAAATTGGATCGATTTCTAATTAATGGAGAATTTCTGATTACTTTCCCGAACATAGTTCAAAGTCTTCTTCCTATGTCTCTCTCAGATCACAATCCGGATTTGTTATAAGAGAATCGATTGAATTAGGGCCCTAAACCATTCAGATTCTTCAATTACTTATTAGAGGAAGAGGGGTTTGAAGTGTTGGTCAGGTCTACAATATTTAACCTCAACAGGGAAAATAATCGCAGGGGCATATTAAGTATTCTGCAAGGTACAAAAAAGACGATTAAAATCTGGTCGGGCAGCAGGCAAACAGAGATTTCAGACTCTATTTCGATGCTGGAAAACAAAATTCTTGATATGGAGTTAAAATTTCAAAACAACAGTCTCTGGCACCTAGATTGGAGGCAGTTATCGCACTATAAGAGTGAGCTTTGGAGGTTGCACAG